GATGTCCCCCACCGGGCAGGCTCAGCATTGCTTCCTCAGCGTCCCAGGAGGGGCCGCGCCTGCCGGTGTCCCCGGCCCACGAGCGCCCGGCGTGGCGCCGCTGCGGGAGCGTGTGAGCTCCGTGGCCTGGCGCGTCTGTTGGCTCCTCCACTCGCTCGGGAGGCGCTCACCCCGCGCAGATAGGAGCCGCGCTGGTACCCAGAGACACCCGTTCATTCTGGTTGCCGTGATACTGTCATTAGGTGAAGGCCCATACTAGGTGCGCGACGCCAGACTGAGTTGCAGAAGATGGAGCGGAAGCCTTTGTAGATTGATGAGCGCAAGATCCCCAGAACGAGAGAAACCAGTGGAGAAAAAGCAGCCTTTCTGTTCTCCAACCCTTGGAGGAGATGCCTGAATTACTGCTTCATACTGGCCGGCTGAGGCGGGGGGCTCTTTCTTGTTTCCGAACCCTGACAAGCACAGGGACGCCCCTCTCTCCATTCCCAGCTGGGAGAAGCATCCCTGGGTCTGGATGTCTCCGGCTACAGGAGTTGTTGGGTATTTCCTGTAACTGTCGCCATCACACCTTCGTATTTGTGGGCTTCCATCACCTTGAGTACATGCCCTTATAACATGATTCATGGTTTTGGGGGCAAGTTCCTACGAGTTTCTCAGAAAGAAGAACGCTGGCCAAATTCCTAGTACCCAGCATGGTGTTTTAAGCATGGAACACACGTTGAGAAACACTGAATTAAATGCTTAGAATCTGTAGGCTTTAATGAAATAGCTAGGAGACAGCCTCAGCCTTCAGCATGATGGCTTCTCCTGGGAGAGCCTCTCCGTTTTATTCCTCAGTAGATACTGTGTTCGTTTTTCCACCAAGCACTTGCCAGGTGTGTTTCTGTGTCCATCAAAAGGGAAGGTCAGAAAGATTTAACTCGACCTCACGTCTGCTGAGCATCTGTAACTGCATTCCTGATGTCTTCACATATTCATCTTGTTAAATTGTCACGGCGTCTCTGTGAGACTGGGAAATACGATCCCTGCTGTAAAGGTGGGGAAACTGAGGCTTGGACTGTTCAGGGATGGTAAGCCGGGGAGCCAGGAGTGAAATTCAGGTCTTTGACCCAGCAAATACTTTTTCTACTTATTTAACCAGAAAACATGTTCCCTGCTCAACACTGTGTTTTAGAGATAATTGGCTTGACACTAGTGTGATGGTATTTACATAAAACTTGGTATGTAAGAGCTAGTCTTTTCTTCATCATTGCACTGGCAGGGAACAGACAATTGTGACGCTGGATGAAAAGCGTGTGGTAGGTATAAACCCAGACAAAGGGTAGTAGCCTAGCTGGGAAGAAGGGGTCACGGAAGAATTTTCTGGGGTGGTGATAACAGATAAATTCTGAAGGATCTGGAAGTTAGCCAGATCCCAGGTAGGGGACAGTAGAGGAGTAAAGATTTTAGGTAGAGTCCATCTACAGATGACTGTATAAAGAAGCTATAGTATATTTATACTATGGAATACTACTCAGCCATAAAAAAGAATAAAATAATGCCATTTGCAACAACATGGATGGACCTGGAGATCGTCATTCTAAGTGAAGTAAGCCAGAAGGAGAAAGAAAAATACCATGTGATAGCATGCATATGTGGACTCTAAAAAAAGAAAAAACTGTTTACAAAACAGAAACAGACACACAGACATAGAAAACAAACTTATGGTTACCAGTGGGGGAAGGGGGTGGGAAAGGATAAATTGGGAGTTTGAGATTTGCAGATACTAACTGCTATGTATGTAAAATAGATAAACAACAAGTTTCTGCTGTAGAGCACAGGAAACTATATTCAATATCTTGTAGTAACGTATAATGAAAAAGAATATGAAAACGAACATATGTATGTGTATGTGTGACTGACACATTATGCTATACACCAGAAATTGACACAAACTGACTATATCTCAATTTTAAAAAGTAGATTTTAGGTAGAGAGGGCAGCATAAGTAAAGTCACAGGATTTGGACATCTTTTGATTTTTGTTGTTCTTATTACTGTGTTCACATACTAGTTCAAGTCCTCCGCTTGTGACTGTGTGTCCTTGTGAAACTTTTCTCTAAAAAATAAATGGAAAAAACAAACAAAAAACCAAAAAACCTCTTTCAAACCTGGGCATTTTTTCTTCTCTCTCCTTTTAGGCCCGAAACGCGGAAAAGGCCATGTAAGTGTCGACTCAGTTTTGTCCGTAAATTTCACGTGACTTAGTTACCACCACGGAGCTCTTTATCTGCCCAGGTGTTCTCCCTGTAGCATTTTCTGACAGCTCCCAGAACTTCAGCTGGATGGACATGCACTCGCCTGGGGTGGTGCAGGTGCTGAGAGTGGCAGCTGTGGCAGCCGCAAGATCAGTCTGTTAACCTCTGGATGAGTTGCTCACCACAGTGGTCTGATGAGTGGTTTCCCACAGTCCTTACACACAGTGTACGTTAAGCAGACACTCAGGTGTTCAGGAACACCCTTTTAAATCTTTATAGGCCCTGCTCCTTGGATCATGGAAACTTGTAACATCTCTGTGGTTTCTTGATTGCAGTATATATGTGTAAGAGTGACGAGTGATGTTAAATATGATCATGAAATTTACCCACCCAGGAACTTGGGTGGTAAGAAATCTGTGAGCAGTATTTAACGGAGTCTTCTCTGTTCCTGATAGGACGGCCTTAGCAAGATTTCGCCAGGCTCAGCTGGAAGAGGGAAAAGTCAAGGTTGGTTGAAATCCTGCTCATGAATTTTAAAGCATCAAGAACGCATGCGTTAAACTCCCTCCTGAGTCGACTCAGACTCCACGTCTTCCCGTTTCCTGTCCATGCTTCCTGATTCTCTCATGAGTCCCGGGTGAGGCTGTCTGCAGTGGGGGCATGTGACGGCCTGGCTGCTCATACTTCTGTCTCTGCTGTAATACAGTTGGGTTTCCACATTATCTGGCTCCGTCTAGTATTGACCAGTCGGAAGTGGAGTGTGCTGTGGGGGCAGCTCTGAGCTGAAGCCAGTAATGACCTCAGCCGTGGAGACTCAGCCAGGTTAGGGGTAACATGTACCGTTCTTTGCATTTTTTTAAAATTACACCACATGTGCACACACACCTGTGTGTACACACGCATACATGTATGTGTACGTTCTAAACGCCCATGCCCTTCATTTCCTAAGGTAGTATAAATATGCCATGAAATGGAGATAACCTGGTGTGCTTAGCCATCTCTCCGTATCAACTGACCCTGGATCACGCAGGTGTGAACTGCGTGGGTCCACCTATA